CATTAGTGAATCTAACGAACTCAACTTGAATTCGAACTCGGCTCAAACGACTTAATCACATTTTGGACTGGCGATTAGGTATGAGTGTGAAACAGACTGAAGCCAATGGCTGTTGACCTCAATGTTCACTTTAATATTTACATACATGCTTTATTCCTGCTATTGAATAATTTCACACATAAATATAGCATACCTTAAAACTATACTTTTATCATATATATATATATATATATATATATATATATATATATAGCGTTGGTGATCTTAACAGTTCAAATTTTGAAATTGAAAAAACGATTAAAAATTATGGAAAACCCTCACATCAAAGTACGGCAACTCACCATCATTTAAATTTGTTTTAGTTTTGTTGAATACGTGTTAAAATACCTTTGAAATCTAAGGTCATTTTAGTTACGTGACGTTAATAGATAGATAGATAGATAGATAGATAGATAGACAGACAGACAGAAATAGATAGATTGGAAACCAATAACTACTTTGGCCTTGTGCTCAACAGTCAGTTCACTCCCTCCAGCAGCAGCTTCCCATTTTACTAAGCGGGGTCAGTGATATGTCTTCCGTTCCTGGGTAACCGACACGCGCAAAGAAAATACCTATGTCCAATTTGATTTCATGAAGTAGCAATATTTCAGGAAAGAAAATTGAAAATATCGAACCTTATTAATATATTTTTATTTTTTTTTTTTATTTATTTTTTTTATTTCATTTTTATTTATTTTTCTATTTTGTTATTTTGCAGCCCTCATCTATCAGTGCCCCTACTGTGGTGTGCGTTTTAGCAAGCCAAGTACTTTAGAGGGCCACTTACTGTATTACTGTTCCAAGAAGCCCCCTCCTTCAAGCTCTTCAAACATCTTAACCCCTAACGAAGCAGGAAACAATGGCACTACACCAGCAGCCGGCATTAAAAAGAGAGAACGAAATTCTAGTACTGGTAAGTTTGGGTTTTATTTCTATCTAACAGACTCTCTCTCTCTCTCTCTCTGGGCACCTGCCGTTCGCAGTGTCTCCATAGTTGCACCGGATGACCTCATTCTCATTCATTACTCTCTCTCCCCACCACCATCTCTCCCACCTTTGGCACACCCCTTTTTTTTGGTTTTTGTTTGCCTAGCAAGAATACGCATACGTAATGAGGAATTGTTCACACATAATTCTACGCACACGTGCGTGCACGCACACACGGAGCAACCCTTTAGAAGCACCCAATGACGGTTACATCCATTATTCATGGATTGCATGACCTGCAGTTTAATCAGCGTAAAAAGAATTTCTTGTTTTAGTCACATTCTTGAAATTATGTGTATATGTATATGTTTGTATATGTGTGTGTGTGTGTGTGTGGTGTCCTCTGTCAAGATTAAAAATGGGTGTAATAGCTTTTATTTTGTTTTGTTTGTTTTGTTTTGTTTTATGGCATATCAACCTCAATGGGTCATTTAATGCCGACAACTTGTTTTTTTCCTGGTAATATTTTTGTTTTGTCAAAAATCTATTTCTGGTAATAATTTTTTCCTCAAAATTGTATAGCTGGTAATATTTTTTTCAAAAACGTATTGATGGTAATTGTTTTTTTCCTTCAAAAACTTATTTCTGGTAATAATTTTTTACAAAGTATGGTATAAAAAACCTATTTTTACACTTTTATAATGCTTTTTACCTCAGTTTCGAGGTTAACTATTTGCCCATAGCTGGGACCCTAACAGGTGCTACCACCCCGGGTCAGGGTGGACCTGGAAACACCATCAATTAAGAGTTGGTTCCACGCTCCTCAAAAACTCCTGATCAGAGGCCTTGCTGTTGGGCGTAGTTTATCGTCTTACCCTGGACACGGATGTAGTCTATCGTCATACCCGGGACGTGTAATGGCTTTTAAAATTACTACCTGAGCCGTAGTTGTAAGAGACTACTCACCTCCGCTCTCCATTCTCTATCAGCTATCGTGACATGCCAAGAACAAGTGATTTCGGACATGTGCGGTCATGTTTCTACCTACACTTTTTAGCTCTGAGCAATATCATCCCTCCCAGTCCCTGTTCTGCCATCCATTTACACAAACCCGTTAGGCAGGTTGACCATGGTTCTCCACAACTTCCTATCCTTCTTAACTCTAAGTAAGGTTTGTCTCCTTATACCTCCCAGTCCCTGATCTGTCATCCATTTACACAACCACGTAAGGTAGGTTTATCATGGCTCTCCACAACTTCCTATCTTTCTTAGCTCTAAGTAAGGTTTGTCTCCTTATCAAATCCATGATCTGCCGTCCATTTGTTCCCTTCTACCCTCTTACTTTCAGTATGTCTTGTGAGTGCCACATTCTCCAAGCTGTCTTTTCTCATTGTTCCAGAATTTTAAACTGCCTCTTTCTGACTCTAAGTATAAGTGTTCTTTTTGTTTCCATTTTCTCGAAAACTTCCTCATTGCTCAAATGTTCAGTCCATGTTATTCTCGGCAGCTTTCTGTATAACCACATTTCTGCTGCTTCAGGTGTCTTCTTCATCGAGGAGGAAATTGTTCAGCATTCCCTGCCATATAAGAGGACTGATATTACGTAGCAGTGCAGCATTTCTTTGCTTCTAATGAAATTTCCCTGTTTCTTAATAACTTGTTTAGCTTTTGGAAGGTATCTTTCGCTATTCCAATGTCTTTTTTGTTTCCATCTGGTCTGGTGCTACTGCTATGTGTATAGAGATTCTTAAAGTCCAAAAAAGAATCGCCAATATTATTGGTGCTGACCTGGCATTTTGGCTTCAATCACTTTCTTACCGCCGTAACGTAGCTTCTCTTTTCACGATAATTGTTCTGATGAGCTTTCAGAATGTGAACGCAGTACTAGATTGGCAGTTAGGTCTCATAATTTCACTGATGAAATTGCTAGTTGCAACCATAAGTTCTATGCTAATCGTTTCTTCTCTCGTACATCTCTTCCGGCTTTCTGCTTTCCTGTCAGCTAAAAATTTGAAATGTCAATGGTCATATTTTGTCTCCTTGGATGCTGTTATTTTATTGTCTTTTAGTTTCTTTCGCCCTCAGTAACCCTTTGCATTCTAGTTGCCTTGTTTGAGGTGAAATGATTAAAAAATCTATTTGCATAGTCAAATCCCAGTCTTTTGCACAACTCCCAGTAGATCGCCGTTCCTATCCAATCATGTATTTTCTTTTACTTCTTTTGAGTTAGCTTGTTATATTAATAACAATTATTATTATTATTATTATTATTATTATTATTATTTCAGGTTCGGATGATGAAGCCTCGAAGAAGATTCGACTGGAATCAGAACAACCTGTATCCGAAGCGGATGAATCTGACACGTGTACAGAATCTGGTTCTCCACTCCCCAAGGCAATTAAAACGGGGCAACTTTATCAGTGTCCTTGTTGCTCGTACTCAGCAGAGAAATTATCAGGACTCAATCGGCACCGCAGAATACATAACCGACCGACAAAAGACTCGCAGGAAACAACCCCAAAGTCTGTTCTCAAATCGGAAACCTTCTGTAAAGAATGTAATATCCAGTTCAGTTCCTCCAACACATATCGGGGCCACAAAAAGTTTTACTGCGCCAGGCGCAACAAGGAAGTATCCCGTGAAGGGTCACCTGTCGCTTCGAGCAAACCAGATGTGGAGGTTCAAAGTCCGGTGAACTCTCTTACCCCCGTCTCCCACCATGTTCCCAATATTCCTTTCCATGTCACTGCCAATTCTTCTGTGTTGTCCACTCAGACAGCCGTTATTGTGGCCGCTCCGATCCTGACACCAAACGGTGTACCCAGCCTTGCTTTTACAGTGCCCACAGTAATCGTCCAACCGGTCGTCTCTTCCGCTAATCTTACCCAGCCTGCCCAAGCTCACCAAACCACCATTCCCTTTTCCAGCTCTAGCAAGGATCAGCCATTAGACTTAAGCACGAAGAAGGAAGAAGGGAAAGGAGACGAAAAGAGTGCTGCTGCTCAGGTTTCTCCTGCGATTTCTGAAACGTCAGAGACAAAAAGTACAATAAAGGAGGAGCCAGTCGAAACTCTTACAACAGAACGTAAGTCAGCTTCAGAAAACTCGTCTTCATCGTCAGCTACACCAGCCGCTGTTCCTACAGCTACCGCCACTTCAAATAGTACCTGGCCCTCTGTGGAATCAACAGTTCTGAACCAACTCTTTAACCATAACATCAATCAGTATCCCCACCAGCCGAAACAGATCCTCACGTCGCCAACGGGACAGGCGCCTGCTACGACTAGTGTCAGCAAATGCCTTGAATGCAACATTGTATTTTACAAGCATGAGAACTTCGTGGCGCACAAACAGCACTACTGTGCCAGCCGGCGAGCCGTGAAAACTTCACCCCAAATCTCCCCAAAGCTGTCACCTCGAGAAACGGATGCCGCTTCGTCTGCAGCTGCCGCTGTGGCTGCAGTCGCCGTCACCTCTCTCAGAAAACCATCCCCAGAGCTCACCAGCCGACCGTTGTCGTCCTCAGCCAGCAACGATGAGAAACTCGACGCCATAAACAGTGTCTCCAAGATGGCTGCGCTGAGCAATGAAAGTATAGAAAAGAGCAAGGCAAACGTCAGTTACTTCTGTGTTCCGTGCAAAATCAAGTTCAGCTCTGCGTCGACGCTGAAGGCCCACAAGGATTATTACTGTCCTCACGGCAAGAACAGCGAACAGTCGTTGATTCTATGCAAAAATGACAGCGTGTCAGAAAGCAGTTGCAGTGAGGCAGACGATAACTCCCTAGAGGACAACTTCTACACGTGCACCCACTGTTGCACGTCGTACACATCATCCAGACTGTACAGACATCACTACTGCCCAGCCAACATGCAGAACCCGATGGTACGCTGCCCTCACTGTGATTACGTGGCCCCAACACAGAACAAATTAAGTGAGCATATGAAAGCTCATGCCACGTCCCGAGGATACAAATGCTTGCTGTGTGGCTACCGTGGTAATACGGTGAGGGGTATGCGTATGCACGGGAAGACCCACACAGATAGTGGACAGGAATTTAGCGAAAAGCACGTCCTAGAAGTGGAAGAACCGCCCGTGCTGCCAGTCTCCTACAAGAACGGAACTACTGACACGTATGGCAGTATGGACGTGGAAGCTGAGCTGATTCGGCTGAAAAACGAACCTTATAAGAGGCGGCGGTCCCGGAAGTCGTATGAGCGAATAGACATCCCGAATCACGAACTGCTGCACGCCTGTAAAATTTGTGGCGAGACCTTCTCGGATTTGCACGCTTTCCAGATGCACAGTACCATACACCAAACCTCGCAGATGGTGCCACACACAATCGGCAGGCCAAAGTCTGTGGTTAACGGTAAACAAATGGATGATCACCAACCAGACAATGGACCCTCGGGTGATTTGGCCACTGTAAGCAGAGTGGAACAGAGTGTCTCTTCGACGCTTTCAACAGCAGCAACAGCAGCGGCGGCAACTTCCGGATCATCTACTTCCGTTTATCCTTATAGTGAGGCTATAGATAGCAAAGCATCTCTTAAATTAATTACCGAGAAAATGGGTCCGAAATCGAATCAAAATGCTAAGCAACCCTCTCCAACCTCCACTGTAGGGACCACAACCCCTCCACCTGCGACAGCTATGCATTTCAAATACGAAGCTGATTCCGACCCAAAGATAAATTACACCAACGTTTCACCCACACTTCTTCATCGTTTTCCGGATGCAGAAAGCCCCAGGCCTGCGACGACGTCAGCCACCATTTCTGGGGCAACCCCTACGGACCTAGAGCAGACCATCAACTCTCTAGGGTCCGTAATTCAAATTAAATCAGAGCCCGTAGACAGAGGGTACGACAAAGCGGAAAATGGGACCGCATCGGCTGATAGTCCCCCACCGACCACTTCGGCCGAAGTTAACGTGAAAAGAGAAATAGACCAATCCACTTCTTGTGAAAGGAAAGAGGTCATGATCCCACAGTCGTCCCTCAAAGAAGGGCCAAAAATTCTTTCACATTCCAAACTGGAAATACCTAGTCACTCTCTTTCTTCTTCTTCCTCTCTTCCCATCCCTCCTCCTTCCTCCTCTTCACCTCGTCCTTCTTCCCCGTCTACATCTTCTAAAACAGCAGCCTCAACTGCTTTCTCTACTACCACTTCTGTTCCCGCTGCCGCCGCTTCCTCCAACACAACCCCGCTATATGTATATAATTCCCAATATTTGCAAGGGGAGAGAACTGATCCTTCAAACCATACGGCTGAACCCCAGTTGTCCAAGTACTGCCAGCAATGTGATATTAGTTTTACTTACTTGGCTACATTTTTGGCCCACAAGAAACACTACTGCAGCGCCAGGCTGCCCGATAACAAGCCGTCAGTGACAGCCTGATGTTTCTACTGGTAAATTCGACAAACTACGAAGAGAAGACTTCGATTTTTTTTTTTTTGTTATTCGTTTTTTTTCTTTTCTTTTTTTTTTTTTATCGAGAAACAATGAAAGACTTGTACCCTTTCATGGTGCATTCCTAAAGAAAAAATATATAAAATTAAAGATAAATGCTGTTAATATTGTTTTTTTTTTTTTTTTTTTTTTTTTTTTTTTTTTTTTCGAATTTTCAGAGGAAAACATTGAAAAACTAATTTTTTGTTTGTTTAAAAATATTATAAAAGACAGAAGACTTATAAATCTTTTCCCTTTAACAGATAAAAAAATGTCTTGTCAATCCCTCAGGCTAAAAAGCAGCCAGTCCAATGTGGGTGCCTCTCTGCTCAAAAAAAGAAATACCACCAATCACAACATTTACAGCAATAGACAAAATAAAGACATTTCCCCTATGCAAGAGTCGCTTTATTATTTTTTACAACCTTTGTCTTGGTTTTCCTTATTTGTTTTATCGATGTACGATAAGTCTTATTGCTTATCTGCAAATAATATGCGTCACAAATGTCCTTTACTCGGAATTTTTGACGACGATGGAATTTTTTTTTCTTAAGAACAAATTGGGAAGAAGAATTTTTTTTTTTCTCGCGGGTTTTTATGCAATTCGGTTTTTTACACGGATAAACTGTAAGTGTATTGATTGTGCTTAGACCAGAGAACAGTGTTTCAGGAATTCTAAAAAAAAAAAAAAAAAAGGTTGAAGGAAAAGTTCTCCTGTTTTCTAAATAAATTTGATTATTTTTAAATCACTAAAATTTACCATCAAACAATATGATTCAAACTAACTTTTTTTTTTTTTATCGGAGGAGGATTTATTTTACAGGATATGCGTGTAGCATCGGCACGGAATGTAAGGTTGGCGTGGCAAGTTCAAATTCCACTCGAGACCGTTGCATTCGCTTTCACATGAATACCATTAAAAGGATATGGCACGATCTCTTCTGCTCCAGTCAAGAAACAGAAGATAAATAAAATTATTAAAATAAAACTTTAATAATTAAATAACAGGGTAGACTGGGCATTCTAGCCTTGGGTGGCATATAGTCTCAGAGAAAGACAACTCTGAATTGAAATCTGGCTAGGTTTGGGCAAGAAATTTCAGCTGCTACGCCTATGGTAATGATACTGTAAATCATAGGGAATATCTACAACAATAATTGTTTTATATAAGCAAACACTGCCAAAATCTGAGGTAAAAATCCTAAAGAAAATTAATTTAAGTGCCTCATTTTTTATATAATGTTTGTTTTACTTAAACGATCATAGCCTAAAGCTAATCTGTATAAAAAAAAAAATCTGTATGTAAATAAAGTTTTAGACATTTTAAAAATATTCTCACGTTTTGTCGAAACTCATCGACTCCTCGAACCGCCATTTTAGACGAAAAATATCTTATGTGCCATGCGTGATACACGCTTAGGCGATCATGTAACTTTCGATTCAAGACTGACGAGGCAATTTTTTCCCCGCAGCAGGTTGCCATTTCTTTCTAAGGTAGACCAGTTGCCATCCAAGGCTATAGAACCTTGTCTGTCCTGCTATTTACCCATAGTTGGAGGGAGAAGAGGATTCATACCTTTCCCAAGGGTAATATTAGCTCGTAAGTGAATGTAATGGATTCGACTGGAATTCGAACTCGGCTCACCGATTACCTCAATCCGAGCTGCTGTCCATTACTCCACAACAAATTTAAAAATCTCTTAAAAGTTCAATACATACGCTGGATATGTGTTTCAAAATAAATCATTAAATTTATAAGAGTAATAACAGCGTTTTGTAAAAAATAATACTGAATTTTTGCTTAAAACATAATAAAAATCACATTTATTTTAATAATGAAGAAATTCGGATTGTTTATGATTAAAAATAAATTATCTTTAACCTTGTATAATTTTTAATCCTATACGCTTTTATGAAACTTAGAAGAATTAATTTTATTTTTTATACTACATTAAAAATATAAAAGACTAAATTAAATAAAAGCTAGTAAAATGATACTTTTGAGTTTAATTCTTTGCTTTTATTTTCTTGTCTGTTTGAAGTCATAAATTATTTAAATGCACTCAGTGAACTCTTTATAATTATTCTGATTTTTATAATTTATTAAACTAAAGGATGTGTTAAAAAGGGATGAAAGTAATAAAACTCGATACTAAGATATTAATATCACGAGAGAAAGGGTGTAGTCATTCAGAAGTTTTACCTTTTCGATCTTTCATACAAAAAAAATAATCTAAAAATTGTGAAAATAAATAAAATGAAATTCTTTAAAATTTGTTTCTAACGTGAAAATGGCATCCATTTTTCGATTCTTCAAACATATCTTTATTTATTTAATAAAAAAAGATCTCCTTTTACATCAGCAACCAAAAGAATTTCAAAATCGAACTAAAAAATGACAAAAACTTTTTCCAAAAACAAATATTCACTATAGATTTTTTTCGCCTGACAAACCGGAAAGAAAATAATGTTTTATTAAATAATTCAAACGCCAAGTCCCAACAAAAAATATGTTTGTAGTTTTATTAAATTATTTTTGTCAGGTTTCAGGACAAATCCTCAAATTTTTCTGGTTTCACATTGCAAAAGATTTTTTTTATTGAAATATCTTCAGGGATTTTTTTTTTTTTTTATAGAACTATAAAAATGAGGTAAATTTGCAGATAATGTCCCAGTGACAAATTTTTTAAAAATATATATCATTCCTGATGTAAAATCGCCTGATTATTCCAAAAATAGCATTAAAAAATACCAAACTAGGCTTTCTTTGCACTCGATGTCACAACAGAACATCAGAAGATCCAGGTGCATCAGAATGTTGAAGATTGGTAACCTCATAGCCACTAGGTACAGAATGGCGTTTCTTACATCCACGCGAGAAAATCCACGTTCGAGTAAAGCGCACAAAACCACACGCAATATTAATTGGCAAATAAAACTAACTTTACGGGTGAAAGATTTCGTTTCGTATTGCTATTCGTTTCGTTTCGTTAAAACGATAACATTACAGTTTCTTTCTTACTATTCATTGTTTCTATTCCCAGTTTTTAGCCAGTCTGTCTCCAAGACTGAATATTTTCTCTTATCGCATTATGAAATATAAATAACTTTTTATTTATGTGTTCACTTGACGTTTTGCTTGAGTCATCAAATCGATTTTTTTTATTTAAATAAAACGTCTCTAATTATGCAGAGCTACCCATTTTCTTTTTTTTACACACACTCGTCGAAATTCATAAAATTTTACACCCACTCGTCGAAATTCATAAATTTTTACACCTACTCGTCGAAATTAATAAAAATGTTATATTAAATGCAGATGAGGATAGCAAAAATGAAGTACTTTTTTTTTACAATAACTATGACCGGTACAAGTTCCAATAACCATTCCAGGTAGAGGGTAAGGGGTAAGAAGTACAGTTTATGTTGATACGTGAAGAAGATAACGTCTAATCCTAGCCTTGAACAGTTTAAGATTGTAGTGATCGGGAAAGCATCCACTTGGGAGTCGTTTTTACAAAGTAGCGGTTAATGAAAAGAAGCTGTTCGAGTGGTACTTACATCTCGCCAATGGAATACGAGGGGAATGAGGCTGATTCACTACGATGGGTGTGGCATGGCGGATCTTAGCCTTGAGGGTTACAGATGGTGAAATTAAGAAATGTAGCTTATCTGAACACTTTCCATGGAAATAGCAAGAGAGTCGCAAAATCTGATAGACTAATGCTTACCCAAAAACCATAATGCTAATGGCACTGGTTAAATTAACCGTCTCCACACAGGAAATATTCGATATAACCCTGCGGCAGCTTCTTGTTCATTTCACTAATGAGGTAGGGTTCGTGGATACCGATGCCTGGGTGACAGGAATCACAGGAGCCAGGGCAATTTTTATCCTTCTCTTATACGTCCCCCATTATAAAATAACTTTGTCTCATAAGGCATTGTGGGAAGGCGAGTAAACTGCGGAAACATTCGGCATCAATTGACCGAACAGTTTGCATCACTGTCTTAAAACAGTCTTTTAGGAAATTGGTTCTCGTACAAACATCGAGGTTAAGCAACGTCGAGTCTGGTCAGCACCTAGATGGGTGACCTCTTGGGAAGTGTTATATACCGTACCTATGAACACTAATGGGTATGTCCCAATCCTCTTAAATATGTTGGACACTATTGTATGTGGGGGTAATATACTGTCTAAGCTTATGTATGAAATATTTATCATCATCAAATCGGGGTGCGTTTGGTTTGCCCCCCTTGAGAGGATGCTGTATGGAGGATTGATTGGTGACGGGTGATTTTTTGTGGTGAGTGCGCAAATTGTAATGAGTAAATGGGTCGTGAATCGGATTAGCTAGGTATAGGATAGTCAGTGAAGACCAGCCTCAACCCATTCCTCTTTTTCGGCCTTGTGCCATAATTGTATGTTTCATACAATAAATATAAATATGCTTTCAAAGCTGGCAGTGGGAAACTCTTGCTGTGCCGAATTCACTACCTTTGGGCAGAGAAAACCCGGACGAAGCTTTGCCGAAGGGCAGAGTCTCGTCCGGGGAGGTAGACAGATACCCGATCCCGCGTTTGCGGGGTCTACAATTTTTGCCCCAACCCACAGGCTCGGATTTCCCCATGTTAAATTTGGCCTTGTGCCGCATCCTACCTCGTGGAGAGGCAGGTAAATATCGTAATATGCTAAGTTCACCACTAGCAGTGGTTTACCTACTTCACGCCGCTGGCGAGTATTGTATTTTGTTGATGTTATAAAGATTACCATTTCATTTCCAACCTCCGTTTTGGTTATTCCTTATTCCGTAACCTTTTCTAGGTTAAAACATGAATACAAGGTACTATAAACTTGTCTGGGAAAGATATGAATCCACCTCTTATCCCTCCGGCTATGAGTTAATTAGTAGAACTTGTATCAGTAAATTATTATTATATCCAAAACATTCTTACAATCTAAAAATTATTTTCTGGTTTTAAATAACCTGCAAAAGGTTGATAAGCTGTAAAAAACAAATCAATCAATTATTGATAGAATTTTCCTTCCAAACATTTTGTTTAAGTGTAGGAAATATATATTATATCATTATTTTCCCCTATAATTACATGTTCTATTCATTTTATTTGTTGCAGCTGTTGGAAGTCTTCAAGTGGCGTGTATGTATGTGTGTGTGTGTGTTGTTTTGTTTACCAGTACAATTCATAATACAGTAATATTAAATATAAACGAGAAAGATCTTATATGCAAACTTGAAATATCTGGTAGTCTAATGTTTACAATCTTCTATGTGCCGCGTCCCTTCAGAACATAAGCACAGATGGCTCTCCACAACATCCTATCCCATGTGTCGCTTAGCAGTTATTCTCCCTTTACTAAGGCCTCCGCCTCCCATTCTGACATCTATTTACACAAGCTCGTCAGGCTCGCTGACTTCACCCCCCCAATCTATTTTGCCCTCAGTAAGTTTTAAGTTTTCCAAGCCTTCCTTCCTCATCCTGTACCCAAGGAATTTCAGCTGCCTTTTTCCTGAGTCCTGAGATTCTGAGTAAAAAATGTTCCTTCTGTTGCCATTTTCTCTAAGACTTCCTTGATGCTTACTCGCTCAGTGCTTGTGTAATATTAAATATAAATAGTCATATATCATGGAATACAGTAATAACCTCATCACATGTGTGTTGGGAGTGGGGGTGAAGGTTGGTATCTTTTTCGATCATTCGTTTTGTTGGATTAACTTTCTTTTCTCTTCCCTTGTTAATGCGCGCTGCGCTTAGCCGGTCATGTGACTCTTAACGGCCAATCAATGAAGTCCAGACTGTAATGTCTTAACCTTTACAAGAGATAATACACAGCAAAAATATTTTGAATTGTTCATTAATGTTAGAAACCACAGACTGTAGCAAGATAGAAAAACACTCTTTGGTTAGATTTTAAAAGCATTTGTTTCCTAATGTTCACCCAATACAAAGCCCAAAAGCCACTCAAGGTAGAGGGTTACTGTGTGGAGTTGTATTAGTGTAAGAAAGGACAAGCGTTAGGAGTATACAGTTATAGTAGGCTTTAGACGTAACCGGAAACCCAATCCTAAACAGGAAACAAGAGATAAACTTCTAATCATGTTCAAAAGAATGGGGAGGAGTGTGAACCGGACAATAGGCGAACCTATCTACTCCTATTGGTGAAGGAGAGAAAACGTAAAAATAAAATAAAAAATTACTGAATAAAATTTCAGATTTCAAACGCAGACGTTAGGAGCATAGAGCTGAGTAGTAATCCCGAGTAATTAACCTCATAATTAACTTAGAGAGGGAATGCTGAAAAGTTCTCAGCCCGACCCATTTTCTCAAATAAGTATCTTATCAGAATCAGGCGCTTGGGTCTTTTGTAAAGATCCTTTTATAAATGACGCATGGATGTCTGCAACGGTATTCCTTCTGTTTTGATATTTTTATCAGTCTTATTAAAATTCTGCTTCTTTTAAATTTTATTTTTCCTGCAACGTAATAAATAAGCCATTTACGGAGTAACATTTTTCAATAAAATTACTTTTACTGCTTAACTGGAAGCCAACCAATGTACGACTATTTATCAAAAATGTTTCTCCCATTATGAGAAAGTTTTTTTTGCTTTTTTTAGAAAGTGTCTTTCCTGATTCCAACGTCTGGATTTTTCACAAAATAAAGAATTGATTTGATCTGAACCAATTTTGCTTCATAACGGCACGGACATTTCCTTAACATTTTTTCGTCGTACTTGCTAATCAGTTTATTACAATGGGAAAGCAAATAGGAAGATTGTGTTCAGATCCGGATTTAGACGAAGAGAGGCCCTAGGCTATTCCACTTTTGAGGCCCTAGACTATTCCTCTTGTGAGGCCCTAGGCTATTCCACTTGTCAGGCCTTACCCTATTACACTTGTTAGGGACCTCTAAATCCTCCACTCTCACGAACAGAAGAAAATGGAAGATTGTTAAACAATTTGAGTAAAATCGAGGATGATGACGGGTGTTTAAAATTCCACAGTTCACAATTCCCCCTCTAAAGGACACATAAGACGTTATTGTTAAATACATTATGTGATTGAAAAAAATGTATGAATGTTAAAATGAAAAAAAAACATCTCTAAAGAAATCAATGCTGACATCGAGTTATCAGCTTAAGACAGAATTATTCTGAAATGGAATATAAGGAAAATTACTGAAGGGTTGTTTAAAATCTACAATGCTTTATGACAGCATGTGTAAGAAAAGCCTATGACAGTATCAAAAATATTATACACTTTGGCTGGAGGACTCCTAGATTTTGAGGCTGCTAAGCCTATAGGTAAAACCGGTACTGATCGTATTGTTCCAACCTTCAAAATTGTACAATTCTGCCTGTCTTGGAAATTAGCATTCTCTCTCTCTCTCTCTATCTCTCTCTCTATCTCTCTCTCTCTCTCTCTCTCTCTCTCCCCCCATTAAATGTAAATCTTAATATGTAGCTTATCCTAATAGATTTAATAACTGGTAAAAAGATTGTCTAGCGTCAGTCTTTCTAGCCAGTACTTCGAAAGCATATATTCTGCATTCGAAATTTTAGCTATGACTTGAACGACTCAAAACGATGACGAGCCCAAAGAAAAAGATCAGTTTTACAAATCGGCCTCTGTGGGTGCCTGTGTAGCCGAGTTGAGGGTGGCGTAGTGAAGAATAGAAAAAAGTCCTGACAATTTTTACAAACATGATATGCGTTATATTTTCCATAGAAAGAATAATGGAGATAACATCATCCGCACCCCCTCCAGTGACCATTTTAACATCACCCCCACCCGTTCTGATATTTCTGATCCACCAATAGTATATTTTCTCGACGAAATTTAAGAAAATATTGTCCATTCATATAAAATTCAAAATTATTTATATTATTTGTTATTATCATAAAGTTTCGACCATTGTACCCTCCGGTTTTCTTCAGATGTCTCTCGATCCGGGTAACTTTAATTGGATCCAGAACTGAACACTTTTATTTAACCTACGGTAGGTGGAGTGTTCTCGTTGTGCTGTTAGGTCTTGGTCTATTTTAGTACTTCTCAGTTACTGCTGTCCACCCCATTTGGTGGCGTAGTAATTATCAGTTCAATCCCTAGTCCGTAATTGCTCCTTTTCTATGGTGCCGTTGAGGGTTCAATATTTGCTCAGTTATTATTCGGCCTCTTTGGTGGCATTGTGAATTCAGTCGCTGGGAATCCAAGCATGTAATAACTGGGCAGTACTAAAAGAAAAAAATGAAACATCCCTAGAATATGGCTATCAAAACGGTAGCATCTAATATGTATCAAAGACACTAGCAATAGGTCCTAAGACCAACAAAACATCTTTCTACAGTATAGCTCAATGTGGTACACTGACAATAGAAGAGCATGCAGTAAGGATTGAACGCGTTCTGGTTATTTAACGATACCAACTTGCTAACCATGGCTCTAAATAAAAAAGTATTATTTACGAAGATACGAACCATTGCACAGGCAAAGTCTCTTCACTTTGCTCCGTTACGCTCCACACTCGTGTCTCTGCTGAGAAATGTCTTTCTTTCTATGTGCCGTGTCCTTTCAGGACGTAGTCGATCATGGCTCTCCACCTCCCTCTATCCCTTGCAGCTCCTTCCCTCTGCCACCTCCCCCAGATCAGAATATTTGTCATTCACTTGATTAAGGCCACTAGATATGTCATGCGTTATTTTTCCTTGTCCCTTTCGATATCACAGTTTTACATAATATTTGTACACACACACATTTTCAGGGTTTCAAGTGAGCAGACATACAAAGTTTGTGTTTTATATTACATATTTACTAAGCTTAGCTGAAGGCTGTATGAGGAACTAGAAAATAAGCTCCAGTTACGTTGATGTTTAAGGCGAGGAAGACATGCCTGTCTAGAAAATCAACATTCAAATTGCTGGGCTTTTCTTCGGTTTGAACACTGTCACTGGGCTAATAGGAAATGCGTAACTATTTCAATCATCAAAATATTGTTTATATTTTTTGTCTGGGGTAATGGGGTAGGTGTCAGTATTTTCTCACTCATTATTTTGTGTTTAGTTTCATTTTATTTTAATCCAAGAATAACACTGCTGTTTTTAATCCAAGAATAACACTGCTGTTTTTAATCCAAGAATAACACTGCTGTTTCATCTTAATCCAAGAAGGACACTGTTGGTTTTAATCAAAGAATGACACAAAAGAATGGCCCAAAATGTTAATAGTCTTAATAAAGAGTGTATCGGCGCAAAATGTTATGTTAATAGTCTGAGTAAAGAGTGTATTGGCCCAAAATGTTAATGGTCTTAATAAAGAGTGAATCGGCCCAAAATGTTAATAGTCTTAATAAACAATGAATCGGCCCAAAATGTTAATAGTTTTGATAAATAGTGTATTGGCCCAAAATGTTATGTTAATTGTCATAATAAAGAGTATATCTACCGAAAATGTTATGTTAATAGTCTTAATAAAGAGTGTATTGGTCCAGAATGTTATTATAAAAGCAACAATAATAAAATGGGAGTAAAAGTATCAATAAAATAATAGTCATAATGAAGAGAGTCTATCAACCCTGATTGATGTGATAAAAAAGCAACAATAATAAGATCGGCATAAAACTAGTAACCAAATGAAATAACATGTGTAAGTAAATGTGTCTAACGCTCAATTATGTATTTTGCTGTCTAGTCAAATTGATGACACCAGATGCACAAAGCATTGGAGTCACTTTTGGAGAGTGATATTCTGGAAACTAATCTCGCACATTGTTGCATGTCAGTGAAGTTCTCACTATTGTGGTCTTGAGCCACTCTAATTTCATCTGAATGTTATTATTGACAAAGACCGATTGACACTCTAAAATCAAAATAACAAGTAGCATCCTGTTGCTGAGTCACTTTTTGAAGTTTCGCTTCTTCTGACGAAAAACGCCTCAGGTTGTGACATCATCTGCTCTTTGCCCCCTCGCCACTCTCCAGTCACTTTAAATAAGCATGCAAGGTTGGTCGTTATATTGCAGTGTGATGCAATGATGCAATGATCTACATAAGTGTGTGTACGTGTGTATGTGGGTGGGGGTAGAAATTTTTCTTTTAAACATTTATTGTTAAAAATAATGCGCATTTTGTGTCTGTTACATTTAAGAATATTTTTTTTCTAACGAATATCATTTCGCAAATGTGGTTGTTGTCTATGGATAAATTAGCCAAAAGTTGTTTTTGTCATCCAAAGATGACGACACCCATAAACCAGCATTGAGGGTAAGGATGAAAGAAAATTAAGTGCGTTTTAACAAGTGGTTTATATCATTAATTACATTAACACATTAAGATAAAAGTTCATTAAAGGTAACAGACACGAAAGATCTACTTTTTAACTACACACACACACACACACACACACATATATATATATATATATATATATATATATATATATAGAGAGAGAGAGAGAGAGAGAGAGACAGAGACAGAGAGAGACAGAGAGGGGGTAGAGACAGAGAGAGAGAGGCAGAGTAGTGGATAGCGACTCGGATTCAGGAATCGGAGAGCCAAGTTCGAATTCCAGTCGAATCCATTACATTCACTTACGTGCTAATAACCTTAATCTTCTCCCTCCAGCTATTGGTAAATAGCAGGACAGAACGGGTTCTATAGCCTTGGATGGCAACTGATCTAGGAGAAGGACAACTCTGAATTCAAAACTTGCGGAGGGCCGTTTGCAGACCTTGTGGCACGTAGGTGGTTGCTTCTGCGCAAAGCCTTCACCACTCAAATCAAATCATATGCGCATGTGCTGGTGTCTGGCTGGCGGTGCCTAGAAACTGAATTGCTTGATCCTCATACGTCGAATACGACAGGAAAGCTCACTAGATAGATAGATAGATAGATAGATAGATAGATAGATAGATAGATAGATAGATAGGAATGGATCATATTTATTAATCCGACAGATTTTTATATGATTTAAACATTATTTTTAGCGGAAAAATACAAGCAATATATATATATATATATATATATATATATATATATATATATATATATATATATATATATATATATACAAGGGTGTTATATATAAACGTAACCCTTTTTCAAACGTAACTAATAACTGATACAACAAAAAAGTTAATAAAATGAACACGCAACCACCCCTTGTCTGGATGAATGGATTTCTCTGTATCCTTGGAAACTGTAAATGATGATTTTTTTCCCTGCCTTTAAAACCCAGTAAATTTTAAAATAAGTTACTCCAAAATTCACTTGAGGATGAAATGGAACTAGTGTCTTTAATTTAATTACAAAATTAAATTCTAAGCTTTTAGCTTCCAATTTTTAAACATGGTGTAGCGAAAAAAAACATATTTTAAATCAGTTAATTTATAATATTAATGCTCTGTAAATTTACATCGAGCACTATTTTGTAAAAATAAAAATATCTATAAGAACACCGGATTATATATCTTACTGTTCTTTTTTATATATATATATATATATATATATATATATATATTGTGTGTGTGTGTGCGTGTAGAAACTGTCCAGATGATTGTTCGTTTCGAGCGCTTTTTGGCTAATCTATTGCCCCATTTTACAGGACTTTGGTTGCTATTGCAAATGGTGAGTAGGTTACTGATATGTATATACATTTTTTATATATATAGGGTGCGATGGTTAAATTGTCGTCTAAATTAAGCAAATATGAAAATAACACTGACATCTCATTTTAACAGATATATTTATCAAAATTACACAAAAATACCTTGAAATACTAAAGAGTAAATTTATTGAATAAAATCACCATTGTCTTCAACCTCGACTTCCAGACGACTTAGGAATCTCCTGCAACTCTTCTGAACGGTCTCTTTGTTTAAATTGGTGAATGCTGCCATAATCCTTGCCTTCACTTCATCTTTGGTGTTACAAGGAGTTTTGTTGGTCTATCGCTCAATTGTACCCCACACATAATAATCAAGGGGGTTGCAGTCTGGGAAGTTAGGTGGCGAGATGTACGGGATGATGTGGTTGCAGAAATTGTCTGACAGCCATGACCAAGCTTCAATACGAACATTTCAGAGCGTTTGGCAATCAATCTGAGGACAGTGCAGAGTATTCGGAAAGAGTTAGATGAGTCTAATGGTGATTACGAAGGTGTTTGGAGTGATTACTAATGATGGCCACCTTATGCCTCCATTCATCTTCACACAGGACTTCAGACTCAAAAGCCTACATCATGTGACTTGAGGAGGTAGTGTTGTCCTGGGTCAAGAGGGTGGCTACTAAAAGACCATGTGTCTGGCAAGAAGACACTGCACCATGCCATACAAGCAGGAGAATCCACTTATTTACTTCGCATCGGCAGTCTGGCACAAGGCCAGAACAGTGGGCCGCTTTTAATTTTTATTAACATTCATATTCATCTCTGTGTGGTCGTTGCCCAAATGTATTTACGAAGC